TACCTAGCAAATAGAATGGCAACTCTCTGCACACCGTAAGGCAGGCACGGTAAGGACCCACAGACACACCCTCTCCTGCGGGAGGTAAAGGTCTGCCCATGTCCGAGCATGAGCCCGAAGATGGGGTCCAGTTCACCAGAAGGTGCGCAGAGAGTTATCCTAATGTCGAAAATTCCATAAAGGAAAGAATAAGCTAGAGGACACGAAGCTAAATGCAAAGCAAGCAAATAGCATCGCGGCAGCAACGAGGAGTGGATGCCGAAGCGTCGCGGTAACGCGTAAGAGCCGAGGCCGAATTTGCCGGGGGGCGGCTCCAGTCGGTCTCTTTAAATCGCCTCCGGCAATAGCAAAAATCCCGAGATCGAGGGATCACGGTAACCCTTTTCCATTTGTCGGCTGGCTTGGCGACACCCGCTGCGTACCGTCGAACGCCCTTTCCGGTACGATCCTCCCATCGCTCTGAATTAGCCAAGTAAGGCTAATTCACCGCAGGGAGAGAAGCGAGCGCGGGTGTCGTGGAGCGTAAATTTACTGCCTATCTTTTTTTTTTTTGTTACTATTAAATTTACTTGTGTTCTTGTATTTGATCTTAATACAATTTTATGTTCCTCTTAGGTTTTTACTGTTCATGTTTTGTTTCCCCTAGATTTAGACAAGTTTTTATGATGGTTGTTTTCTCCAGAACAATCCTTTTAAACTCTTAAATAAAATAATCCCTTTTAAGAGAAACCTATCCCGTTTTTACCCCCCCCGCCCCCTTCTCTCTCTCTGGCCGGGCCATAGCCGAAGGCCCGGGCGAAGCTAGAACTTCGCAAATCGCAGTCATCATCATCTCTCTCTCTCTCTCTCTTCCTTGGATAACCTCAACCTCGCCTACGCCCCATCTCATCATTCTCATCCTAATCCTTACCTCCATCACACTGGTTTCGGATTTCCGACGCGTGACATCTGCCGCCTGCACTCTGCCATGACCGTGGCTCCTATGCCGTAGGTAGTGGCAATGCGTGAGTGGGGGAGATGCCATGGCCAAGACGGCCGAGAGGATGGTACTGAACCGGCGCCTGTGGAAAATGGGACCCCCGCACGAACACCTGCGCGGGTTCACCAGGGGAATGAGCACTGCACACAGCATAGCCACACTCTTGAGCACAACCTCAGCCGTGGCAGTATTCCTCGACCTGGAAAAGGCCTTTGAACTAGCAAACCCTCTTGCTATTCAGGAGGCCCTGGCCCAGAAGGGAATCAGAGGAAAACTCTTGGCTTGGACAGGTGACTACTTTAGGAACAGAACAGCCAGAGTTAAGTTCCAGGGTCGCCTATCGCAGCACTTGCCACTGGAAAATGGGACACCACAGGGTGGGGTTCTCAGTCAAACCCTATTTAACGTACTCATGTCCTGTATCCTCAACATGAACCTCCCGACGGGGTGCAAGATCGTCTCATATGCAGACGACCTTGCCATCACCGCCACTGGGACACAATGCCTAAGTAAAGCCCAGTGTTGTCTGGACCTTGTGTCTGAGGAGTGTTGCAGGAGAGGACTTAAGATCTCAGCAGCCAAATCTAAGGCCATGGCTCTGGGAAAGCGAGTTCAAGGCACAAGTCTGAGGATCCAGGGAGTAGACTTGGAATGGGTCCCAGTGTTCCAATACCTTGGGGTATGGGTAGACCGGACCCTCTCCTTCCGGCAGGAGACCAAGTACCTGGTTGACCGATGCAAAGCAAGACTGAATGTCATGAGAGCAATGACTGGGAAACGCATAGGAGCCAGACACAAAGTACTAAGAGCCTTCTATGTACATGCTGTCAGGCCCATTGTGGATTACGCCTCAGTCGCCCTAATTGGCAGAAAGAAAAAATACAGAGAAAAATTGTAAACAGTCCAAAATGAAGCTGCCAGAATCATTCTGAGTGCCCTAAGGTCAAAGGTCCCCAACCTCCTGATGGAGGCCAACCTTTTCCCCCTGGACTCGCGAATCGATCAAATGACAGCCAATTTCTTTGCAAAGGTCATCCAGGCTCCCAGGAACACGAGCCTACGAGAAAAATTAGTCAGATGACTGGAACAAGACAACAAGCTCTTTGCCAACAGCACGTGGCTGTCCCACACAGCCAGGGTGTTGATAAGCTTTGAACTCAAAGAGCAGCTCCTGACCAAGGGCATGGACTTCCCCCACCCTGACTTTGTCGAAGCCCCGCCGTGGGCACAAAGTTCGATAGAGTTCTCGGTCATGAGATTACCGCTCAAAAAGACCGAATATCCCACGCCTGGTCTAAAGGCAGAGACCTACAGGGTCATATCAGCCATCACCCCCCCGGGTAGTAGAACTTACTACACGGATGGATCGGTCGATCCAGCCAACCACACTACAGGCGCCGGCTTCAGCAGCAAGGGATGCCATGCGCTCCATGAGAGTATCAGACAACGCCTCCTCGCTACAGGCAGAGGCCGTTGTGATCATGGGAGCCCTAGCCCACGCGTCCCCAATGGAAGGACACGTAGTCATACATACTGACTCTAGGGCAGCCATTGACTCTCAAGCTCAGCTCACCCAAAGACAATATCTACCTCCTGACCACAATACTGACAATAGCCCAAAGAATACTGGCTCAGGGTAGAAGTATCATTCTTAACTAGGTCCCTAGCCATATTGGCATCAGAGGGAACGAACTTGCTGACAGACTAGCAGTCTCTGACAGGGGTATGCCCCCTAGTCCCATGATCATTGCACCTAGCTGTAGTTTACTTCGGAAGAAGAGTACTGGTGTCGCCAACTCCTTCCTCCTGCAGCTTCACAGAGAGGCAACGAGATCCTCTCCCTCGGCCAGATGGTATTCAGAAGCAACAGGCTATGAACCTCTGGCACTCTCTGAGTTAAAAAACAGACAAACCGAAGTCATTCTCCACAGAATGCGCCTAGGTTACCACTGTAAATGGCAGATAATTGAGACCATTGTCCGTGAAGAGGTGTTGCATGCATTGCGGCGAGCCGAACGCCAAACTTATACATTACTTAGAGAATTGTGTACACACACAATTCCTGAGACAGGGACCCCCGACAACAGCCGCCGTGCTGGTAAAGAGACTTTGCGATTCGCTTACCCCGTGGCAGCAGGAGCGCCTGCTGGCAATCCCACCGCCACGGTAAGCACCGAGTGCCATAGAACGAAATGAGTCATCCCTAAAAAGCTGACACAGGCCGGGCCATAGCCGAAGGCCCGGGCGAAGCTAGAACTTCGCAAATCGCAGTCGATCAATCGATCGATTGCCATGGCCAATGTTGATAATCCAAACGCGCCGCAGCCGTGGTATGTGGACTCGCCGACACGCGAGCTCGCTCACGCCAAGCGAGTCCCGCTATGCCAAGGCCACGCGCACACAGATGGCGCAGAGCCTCCCTCTCAAGCCTTTATCCTCCTTTCCGCTTCCCTGTCAGCTATGCCCCCAACTTTTACCCCGCATGTTGGGTTAAGCCCCGACTCTTTTCTCTCTTACTAAATCATCTTTCGACCCCCCCCCCCCTTTATTATTAATATTTTTGTTATTATTATTTTTTTATTACTGTTATTATTATTGTTATTGTTATTATTATTATCATTATTAATATTTTTGTTACCGTTGTTATTATTATTATCATTATTAATATTTTTGTTACCGTTATTGTTATTATTATTATCATTATTAATATTTTTGTTACCGTTATTGTTATTATTATTGCTGTTGTTATTATTATCATTATTGATATTTTTGTTATCATTATTGTTATTATTGTTATATTAGCATAATTATTATTATTATTATTATTTTATCACCATTATGATTATATCTTCGTTATTATTATTATTATTATTATTTTATCACCATTATGATTATATCATCGTTATTATTATTATCATTGTTATTGTCATT